TCTCCTAGTCCCACCTATCTTGCTTTCCTGTTGGCCAACAGTGCTTTATTCATTAACCAATAAGAGAAACATAGTTACAGACTGACACCTCCCATCACCCCATTTGTCTGGCCGCTTGTCTTGTTTGGGGAGGCTCTGATCTCTGGTGTTTGGCAGCCTCCTCTCTCTCTGTGTGCTGCCCCCAGCCATTCCTCCAGCCTGAGTGGCACTTTACCAGACTTCACTCATTGACCACCTTTACCGAGGGCATGCTGTCTGGAATGATCTCTGTTACAGGCCTTGCTCAACCCTGGGTGGCTTTCTGCAGCCTCCCATCCTGAATCGTTGCTGCTAACTCACTCACTGCACCTCCCATTCCATGTAAAAACTCATGCTTTGCGTTGTCTTGCAGCACCATGACACCTTTGAACCGTCTCTGCTGGTTTCCTAGGCCTCATTTGGAATGGGAAAGAACCTATCTGTCGTGTTCATTTGACCCGAGCTGTCTTCCTGAAGTCACAGCTTAGATGGGCATACTGTTCTGTAGGCTGCCTTTATGCCAGAGGGGTCTTCCTGTCATTCTCTCTCTCTCTCTCTCCCTCTCTCCCCCCCCTTTCACTTTTTAAAAAACTAGTTCTTAAAACATCTTTAGCATTTGGATCCATAATTATTACACTGAGAATTTTCTAACATTTTGAATGGTACCACTTAATACATGGAAACTGATAATCAAACATTTAAATTGAAACTGTTTGTGCCAGGAGCTAGTTGGTACTAAAAGCCCAAGTACTGTGATTACTGGTCCCTATATGCAGCGGCTCCACAATCCATGTCACACTCCCAGCAGTCATATTTATATACGTTATTGGTGTAAGTACTGCTCTGTTGGTAGTCTTTCAGGGTATCTGGGAATGTAGTTGCCTCCTGAGGACAAAAGGAACAGTAGCAATTAGTGCCATTATGCCCACAGTGCTTCAGAAACTGGCAAACACATTTTCATGGTAAGCTCCAAAATGCTGTTAATTTGAATTTGTTTAATTTCAAAACAGTGTTCAGCGTCTCCTAACAAGACACAGCAGCTAGAGGCAGGCTGATCTCTGTGAGTTTGAGACCAGCCTGGTCTACAAGAGCTATTTCCAGGACAGGCTCCAAAGTAAACAAACAAACAAACACAAACCCAAATTCGGGCATTAGATATTCTGAATAGAATGCTTATGAAAAAAACAAAATAAAGAATTGAAACATTTTAGGTAGAAAAGCCATTTGTAACATTCAGATTGACATGATGAATATATGTATGTATGTATGTATAGTACATGAATATACTTATTCCTATTCACTGCCTCTCCCACAAAGCTGAGATTTAAAAAAAAAAATTGATCACTTTCTTACTAGACTGTGATTAAGACCAGAGTGGAATCAGTTTACATAGTAACACTTAATATCCTCAATTTCTCTCTCTCTCTCTCTCTCTCTCTCTCTCTCTCTCTCTCTCTCTCTCTCTCTCTCAGAAAACTTAAATGTTTCTGTGTTGCCACTGGTGTGGTTCTGTCCCACATGGAACAGTCAACACATTTGAAAGACATTTGCTTAGAACTTCAAAGGGTGCTGTGAGAAACTGGACTTTAATGGTGAACATTCTGGATGTACAGAAACTGGAGGCATTCTCTTCTAAAGAATATCTGTGGTCTACTTGAAGATAAAGCTGAAAGGAATACGGTGATGCCAAATTTGGCTTTGAATTGCAGGTTTAGAAGAGAATGGTACAGGTAAAGAGTCCTGGATTTGTTAGGCCTGTCTACAATCTTGTGTCTGTTCATGCATATTTATTAGGTCGAAATGAGTGTATTTTTTTTCCCCAGCTGTTTGGAAAGCAACTACTATGTATCTGTACCAAATACTGATTTGTCTCAAATGTGTTCAAATAGCAAAACAAAGCTAGAAAGGCTCAGGGCAGCATAGAGGGGTGCTGAATAAATGTATCATTTGGTTTTTGTCTTGAAACCCTCCTATACTTGCACCAGATGGGAATGGATACCCACTCCAGAGTTCTACCCACTCCAGAGTTCCCACACTGTCTGCACGAACAGACTGAAACACACCTGTGACCTTATGGGCCCTGCCTGGCTGATTCAGAATAGTGCAGCCCCTTCAGCACACTGAGTAGTGTTCATTTTGTAGTGTTACTGGGAACTCAATAGGAGTATCCGAGAGACTGTCCCACACATGCGATTCTCTGGCTTACCTTCTGTATTTATGGCCAGTGACTGTAGTGGGGTTGGCTAACTAGCTAAAAGATTCTCCTGCTCATTAGCATAGAGGGGGTGTAGCAAAACTAGTCACACATTTACACTTAGGGACTTGAGTATGCATCATCTGATTTATTCTCCCAAGATCTAGCCCAGCACAGCTGCCATGCCTTTAATCCTAGTACTTGGGAGGTAGAGGCAGGTGATTATTTGTGAGTTCATGGCTAGCTTGGACACAGCCCAGAGCGATATAAAACAGAGACCCTGTCCCAAAGAAAAAAGTCCATTTATTCTGTTTCTATTTTCAACTTAATGTGGTTTCTCTTTGAAAAAATTAATTTTCCTAAAATGTCAGAATTACTGTTCTCAAATTAATCAGCTGATTAACCATTTCTCGTGTCTGTTTCCTCCCACCCTGCAAACTGTACTTCCTGTCCCTCCCACCCTGCAGACTGTACTTCCTGTCCCTCCCACCCTGCAGACTGTACTTCCTGTCCCTCCCACCCTGCAGACCGTATTTCCTGTGGTCGCCTCACCTGCAGATCGGTTTTGGAGTGCGTCGTTTTTTTTCCTTCAGATTCCGCACTTCTATGGTGTTCTTGGATACATAGCTAGGGTAATTCCCCCCCCCCCCCCCCATTTTTCCCGGCTTTGGAGATTTTAGCTGCATGTAAAATCCATCCTGGCACTCTGTCATCTAGCTCTCTCCCTCATTTCAAACTATTCTTCGAGTGTTCTCTACCTACGTTGCCCCATTTAGTTGGTATGTCTACCAGTGCTGTACATTGTATCAGTTGTGGGAGAAGAAACATTGTAGTTTTTGTTTGTTTGCTTTTGAGACCGTCTCCATCTCCTTATGCTGTGGTGGCTGGTCTGTTTCATAGAGCAGGCTGGCTTCAAACTCACACAGATCTGCTGGCCTCTGTCTCTATCAGAGTGCTGGAATTAAAGGCGTGAACCACCACACCTTTTGTTTCTGGAATACGCCTGAGATAATTAGGATTCTCTTAATTTTGTTTTGAGGGTTAGAAATAAAATTGTGTGTGTGTGTGTGAGAGAGAGAGAGAGATTCTCTTTGTTTTGAGGGTTAGAAATAAAATTAATTGTGTGTGTGTGAGAGAGAGAGAGACAGAGTCTGTGTGTGTCTGTGTGTCCATGTGTATGTCTCCACCTTTTAAAATATAAAATTGCAGGCTTTGACAAATGTCTGTAATGAGATACAGACACAAATGTATAGGATTAGATGTTTTACTGTATTTTTAAATCACCTGCTGCTGTCACCCTTTGACTGGCAGCTTCGATCTGTTCTCTTTATGGTGTGAATGGAGTTGTACACCGTTTGCACTTAGCTGTTTAGAGTTAGCTTATGCTTTCTCATCGTGGTCAGTACTCCAGAGTGCAGTCACACCCCAGCCTATTCATCCACTCACCAGGGAGAGGAGGTTGGGCTGCTTCCAGATTCTAGTCTCTGCACCAAAGCTGCCATGCACTCTAGCATGGTCTGGTGCTTTGAATGAGAAATGTCCTACTTAGGCGCAGGCATTTGAACACACTTGGTAACCAGCTGGGGAGGCTTAGGTGGTTCAGCCTTGCTGGATGAGGTGTGTCACTGGAGGGCTTTGAGATTAAAAAGGCTCTGTTAGCTGCCATGTACACTCTTCTCTTCTGTTAAAGGATGTGAGCTCTCAGCTTCTTGATGCAGCCTCTGTCTGTGCCTGTCTTTGCTGCCACTCTGTAGGACAAAACAAACTTGGTCCACACTGTTTTAGCCTAGTAACAGAAAGAAAAGTAACTAATGTCTTCTACATGTCTGACTATAAACTTTCCGGTCACATAGGGTTAATACCTTCCTTGTTTACTTCTCTTGTTCAACAGACTCCAAACGTTTGTAAAGAAACTTTTAAACTTTCCTGGTTTATCTTTAAATCTTTTGAGCAATATAGTAAATATGTGCTCCAAACTCAGCCCTTTCTATCCGTGCTTAGTGGGCATTGAGAGAGCAGCCACATAAAGTGATAGAGTGTTCCACTCTGCTGTCCGTGTGGAAGGTGGGAGCATTAGGCCGGGCCACTTGGCTTCTTAAACCTGGGTATGTCTAGGTTTTGGTTTAAAATACTTGGGATTTTCCAGAAGTTCCGTTTTCCTTGGATTCTTCCTAGGGGGTTGAGTTTCTATTCCCATTAACCCCTAGTTGCCTGTTCCAGGGTCTCTGAATTGACTTACTGTGTTCCTTTAGAAAAAAGGACGGGGCTTCATAAATATTGGCATTCGGTTTGGAGATTTAGAAATGTGTTTGCTCATAATTAAACTTGTTTGAAATTGTAATAATGGAAGGGTTGGTTTTAAGATCTGTAAGCTAGAAACAGAATCTACTGCTTTTGAACAATAAGAGATAATTTTTAGCAAAAAAAATTCATTTTTTCTTGAGTTAAAAAAGAGTATTCACAGTTTAAAGTAAATTAAGCCTCCCCCTCCTCCCCCTGCTGAGGCCCGAGTCCAGGCCTATGCTCAGTGTTTTACCACTGAGCTAAATCCTTAACCCCAAATTAAGTTTTTATAATGACAGTTTTATTTAAAACATGTTTAAATTTTTATACTTAGTCATTTTCTTTAAGCTACAAATGTAAACATTTTGTCTACAAAGAGGTTTGTGATGCATGAGTTAATGTGGAAAGCTGCTAAGAACTTAGGATCAGGGTCTTTACTCCAAAGTTACCCAGAGTAATTTTAGACAAAATTTTGATTCATCTTATTATTTAAAGTTTACCTTTAGTGTTCACTTTGGCAATACATACACCAAAATTGGGACGATACAGAGGAGATTAGCATGGCCCCTTCAAAAGGATGACACTCAAATTCATGAAGCATTCCATGCCTTTTTTTTTTTCTTATAAATGTTAATCTTTATTACTTAAATGATGTGTTTGGCCAGAGTGCACGTTGGGATAGTACTCCACAAGTAATATTTTAACTGGCAGAGATACTTAATCCTCTGTGCAGATGGAAGGGGAATTAAGAAGACAAATTCCTAGGGATGCTCTGGGTGGGAGGTGCATGGCTAGGGATGCTCTTGGTGGGAGAACCAGCAGCATCCAGGCTTCCTGGGGCCTCCTAAAGATGTGTTATGAGCTGCTCTTAAATGCAAGAGCTCTGTTTGCACTACTAATTAAATTCACACTGAAGACTGGTAGGGCAGCTTGCTATTTATGTGTTTTGTCTTGGGTCTTTAGTAACTTCAAAGGTGAGATGAAGGGACAAATAGTGAATTTCCAGTAAGTTGTACCAGAAAAACACGTGCTAACTTCTTGAATAGTAACCATTTTGTCAGAAGACCAATGGCTTCGCTCACACAGCTAACTTTGAACTCATGCCGCGCTTTACTCCTTGGTCCCAAGCTGATCAGTTTATGTGGAGTGGGCTGCTGCTGGGTAGTATGGAGGAGGTTTCCCCACAGCCGCGTCTCGAGGCGGGGGCATGGGTTTGTGATAGGCGCTGTCACCATTTCTGCAATCGAGTTGTCGTCGTCTTGATACTTTCTTTTGGTAAACAAGAGCCTTTAAGTTTGATAAAGTTCAAGTTGTCCTTGATGTTACTTTTAGTGCGAGTTCCAGGACAGGCTCCAAAGCTACACAGAGAAACCCTGTCTTGAAAAACAGGGGGCGAGCGGGGAAAGAGAGACAGAGACAGGGAGACAGAGACACTAGGACTTGATAGCAGAAATGCGGAGGCACACTTGTTTCCAGCAGAGGATGCTCACTTAGTTTTCTACCTTCAGCAGAAGAGAGAATCGCAAGCACTCAGAAGACTGGAAAGGGCTGTTTCCTAGAGAAAACATGAATGTCCAGAGTACTGGACCGTGGCCACAGCAGCCATGCTCCTGGTTCAGTGAACACAGCCAGTGTTTGTAGTGACTCCATTGGATGTTTCACAGGGTAGTGACTGCTTGTGAGTCCCAAAGCTTCGCAAGGGACTGGGGTAAGAAGCCCTCATGCACCCTTTCCAGGTGAAGCAGGCAACTGATAGGGAACCTTGTGTTCGTGTGTTCCCGTTGGCTTGCTCTTTAGGAAGAAAGGATTTACTTACATCAATAAAACATGTCTTCATATTGAAATAGGTAATGTGCAAACATTTCTAGGCATTATCCTTTCTCTGCTCCAAGTTTAAGTCTGAACACGGGTCTCTGTACAACTTTTAGTTTATAAGTGGAGCTCTTGGGGCCTTCTAACCCTTAGGGCAGCTTTGATGTTCTAACAGGTTCCATGTGAAAATAGCAGGCTCTTACTTGGGTTCCATGTGTGTAGGTCGACCTCTGTTCCCAGAGGGAAGCCAACAGCGCCAGATGGAGCTAGAAGCCCAATAGACTCATGGGGCATCACTCCTCAGAGTCGAGGCGGCAGGCTTAGGTCCTGCTGTTGTTTTCCCATTGAGATGCCCCTGCCATTGGTGGCAATTTTCCTGTTGACCTTTGGGCGTGGGGAGATTTCTCAGCTGAGGGCTTCAAGCAGTAATTTGGAGTTAGGATATGGCAGGAAATGATTCAGTTTCTAGTGGACTAAAGATTTCATTGGATGGGCCTTTTGGCTTGTTTGTTTGTTTGTTTTTTCCCCCTCCCATTATCTTACTTATTTCATGGTCCCCAGGACCCAGGACAGTGTTTGGCATGTAGTAGAGCCTCAGTAAATAAATAGGGATTGAATGTGTCATACAAAGTGATTTTGAGAACTCTATCCCCCCTTAGCTGGGCTGTGGAGGCTCACACCTTTAATCCCCATATCCAGGAGGTAGAGGCAAGTGGATCTCTGTGAGTTCGAGGCCTACAGTGTGAGTCCCAGGACAACCAGGACTGTTTCACAGAGAAACCTTGTCTCACCCCCCACCCCAAAAAGTTATCCCCCCTTGCAGAGGACCTCTTGTGTGGTTTTACTAGTGGAGGTCAGCACATGTCGTCTTGTTTTGAATATTTTTTTAATGTTCTTCATATTGATTGATCATGGCTGATTTGGCTATGTGCCATACACACAGCTGACATGGTAATAGAGATAAACACATTGAATAGCTAAATCAGCATTCACGTTCCAGTATGTAATAGCTTAATTGTGTTAGATTTGCATTTATAATATTATACACAGTGTGCTAATTGCCACAGTGTCAGTATGGATTAGACAGTTGACAAGCAAGCATTTGGGGACCAACATGTGTGCCACACACCTTTAATTACAGCAGTCTTTGATGTGTCCCACAAATAAGTTCATTATATCGGAAGTGCTCAAACTTGTGAGATGTAGGTAGGTTGTAAACTATTTATTACATCCTAACAAACATTTAGAAAAATGTAGAAAAGAGTAGAAAGTATGAGAGTGTGTTGCATATATAGTAACAACAGTTAGTCTGTGGGGGACGCTTGGGCTTCAGTTTATGTGCTTCGGTCATGATTAAGACGGATTTCTTTCTTAACTGTTCCCATCTGTACTGTGAGCAACTAGCATACTTCGCAGTTCATTCAAATGATAGGCAATAAATAAGTTTTGGTTACATAAGAATTAGCAGAGTTACATTGGAAAAGTAGGATACTACCATTTGGAAAAATGCAAAGACTTGAAAGGTCATAATGGATACTCTTCCTGAGCATAAGGTACCATGATGCCAACTACATTTAGTTTATATGGGTGTGCTTGGTGACAGAGCCTTGGTTTTAGAGCTAGAAAGATTGGTTCCAATCTCAAACCTTGATCCACATAAACTTGGGAGCATTGGTGATTTCTTTTCAGCAATTTGAGCTCCAGCTTCCTCATTTAAAAAGGAAAGCATTAGTACTCATCTCATGATGGAGAGAACTACTACCGTAGGCACCTAGTACTCTGAATGCAGTCGATGTTTAAACATGCTTATTAAATAAGTTAAAAGGGTGCTAAGCCCCTCCAGACTAGAAATGACTATTTTAAAGAATTGCTTTGAGTACTCTGTTAAAAAGTAGATTATGAGGTTAATTGGGTCACATGCATGGAGAAACCCTTGTGACTCTCTGGGAACTTAAAGGGTGCAATTACAGAAGAATGCATTCTTTGTGATGTGCGTGCGTGTGCACGTTGTGTTAGAGAGCTGCTTGTGCTCATGTGCAAACACCTCAGGCATTGTTCCTTGGGGTTATTCACTTGTTTTGAGGCAGAATCTCTCACTGGCTTGGATTGGGCTGATTAGGCAAGGCTGGCTGCCAGAAACTCCAAGGAATCCTGGTTTTTTTGTTTGTTTTTGCTTTCCTTCTTCCTCCCTCCCTCCCTCCTGCCTTCCCTCCCACCTCCTCCCGTTTTGATTGTATTTTATTTTAATTTTTAGTACTTCTCTGTAGCCTTCCTGGCCGTCCTGGAATTTGCTCTATTGATTTTATTTTTTAACTGATTTTTTTAAAGATTGAACTGTTGTCCTTGGGTTTGCTTGCAAGGCAGGCAGGTGCACTGAGCCATCTTCCTAGCCTAGAAATTATTTTTTTTTAAATGAAAGCCAAACAATTAAATAAGAAATTGAAACATGCAAGATACAAACTAGAGAATAAGTGAACCAAAATCAAGTCGGTGAGTCACTTGCCAAGACTTAAAATGAGTTCAAATCAATCCTCTGGAGAGAATGAACCCAGAGGAAGGGCGGGCCACTGGAGGTCCTTTGACCTGGCTGACCCTTATGTGGAAGTTATGTCCACTCAGTATGGAAAATGGGGGTATGCTCACTTGAGATCTTTGTCTAAATTTCCTTTTATATTAGTAGCAGGGGAAAAAATGTTGAAAATATTCTGTTCTGAATGTCGTGGCTTAATTAGCAGAGCTAGTGGATGGATGTCAAGCCTGACCCCTTCTATAGGAGCTGTGCTCTTAGAGTGATGGGCCCTCACAGTGTGCTTCGTCATAAGGTTTCCGAGGACTCACCGAAAAATCATGTGTTGCTTAGTCTTGCTACATTTTAAGGAATTTTGAATAAAAAGTGATGGACTCGTGAAAGAAAGCCCTTCATGAGAACCCTCTAAGTGATGGGTCTGTGAAGCCGCTGTACTCAGCGGCCCAGGCTGGTGCTGAAGGGCTGGAGAATCCGTGGAGGGCTGATGGTCTTCAGGTCGTAGCAGAAGGCACAGGATGCTGGCTTCTGATGGCGGTGGAGGATCGCGCAGGAACAGCGAGCAGGCAAGAGTGGAGGCGGGCAGGCAAAAAGCATCAGCTTTTCCTTTGGCTCCTCTCCTATTGAGACACCCACTCTGAAGCGGGTTTTCCTTCTTCTTATAACCTAACCCTTCCAGGAAATACCCCTGCAGACCTACCCCCTTAAGTCCAGTCCAGTTCACAACTAAGGTTAGTCATCATAGCCACCGCAGAACATAGTTTGCTAGGCATTCTGTGGGAGAGAATGGAAACTTTCTGTCTTGCCATTATTCAAAATAAGGCTCTATACCCATCTGGATATGCAGCAGTGTGCTAAAATGTGCATTCCTTGTTGCTGTTGATGTTAAGAAGGATGTCATTGGTGTGACTGAAAGGGCATCTTGGATACATTTCTGAAAATTTCACGCTGGAGTTGGGATGGAGGGAAGAGTGATTTTATAAAAGTTAGTGTTGGGATAAAACTCTACCTTATGCATTGGAGTGTAAACTTGTAGAGATTCACCCTGCTCCATGCAGAGATGCAACACAGGCTCATGATGGCCATAACAGAACATTATGCTTTCTCATTTGTAAGGTGATATGAAGGGATTCCCCAGTGTCAGAATTCATCACCGGCTGGCCTGAAACAGTCACTTCCCAAACTAAAACTCAGAATGTGCAGTCGGGACCACCCTTTCCTTCTACCTGGTTAAGTCCCTTTCTGAACCTTTCTAATCATTCTTCTTCCTTTGCTG